TGATTCAGAAACAAAGAGAATCTTGCCACGATCACACCCAACCACAAACAGGAACCCATCAGCAGCCTGCATTATTAAACACAGAGAAACATGGGATTACATATGGGCATTTCACTAAAGTTTCCGATATTATATAGTGTCATTCAGCTCTATAATATCTAGTGTGAGAGTCTGAATATAAAATTAGCAAGTGTATTATAAACTGCATGGTGTAAAATACTGACTATAGCAGCATCATCGCTTAATAATGTAGCCTAGCCTCTAGTTAATGGTTCTGCACTCACCCTTAGTATCAAGTGCTTCAGTTCATCATCTGAGAGAAATGAAGGCTTGTAGTTGGCCTCTGTGTATGGGTTGGCTGCACCTGCACACAACAGTGAACACATTGCTCACACCTGTAGATATTCAGACTGCACCTGCACATGTCACAGCTCACAGCATCCCTCCTTGTGTGAAAGAAGCTAATTTTGCTACTTCAAGAAAGCAATGATGGATTTTGACGCCGACTTAGAGAAAGCTTTTTATTGCCCCAAATGTTTAGATGGCAAACATGACTGCTGACCAATACCAAATCAATCATTTCTTATCTGTTCAGGTGCTGAAACCTCTGGCAAAACAGGCTTTCCATCCTTTTTTGAAAACAAGCCCTCGTCCCAAGCCTTTGCATTTTAACTGTTCAAAGATGATGCTTAAAGTGATCATAACACACCAACAACTTAAAACCCAAAGATCCACTTTACTATCATGCAAATCGAAAAACAGTAGTTTTGCTTGAGAAATGAAGCATACAATTTATAGACTAACTTTTCAATCAACTATCTGTTGTGAAAATGTGACTTTTATATCAGGTTATAATAGTATACTATTTTATCATCAGATAACATCTGAAATTTGTTTTGCAACACAAGACAGCTCCAGTGTAGAGACAAATAATAACCACAACATTTAATGATAAACAGTCGACAATAAATAATTAAACAGAGCACTAGCCTTGAACAAAAACTGACCATACATACATGTTTTCATGATGTCTAGATACAGATCTGACACAACCACACCCTGATTTTGATTTAACAAACTGATGTACAAAAGAGATTTTAAATTGAGGAACTCAAACTAGTGATATGCGGATCAATCCTGAAATATCAGCACTTCTGATCCCAGCCTTTCCTGTTCTAGGATCGATTCTCACAGTAAAAGATCAATATCTAGGCTATACATATTTGTGGTGACAATAAGAGACGCTTATCGTACCAATCAACTTTAACATGGTCAGTGCTGGGGTCATCACTCTCAGTCAGCGGATACAGTACAGTGGTATCACCGGAGCATTTCATGAGAAACTGATGTAGCACACAAGTGCTGCAATCAGCAGTATACAATGTAAATAAGTGAAATAATGCAGCCTTGAGGCACATCAACATTAGATTTTACTTTATCATTAAAGTACAGGCAGTGGGCTGTGCCAAAGTGCAGTATTGCTGCAATTCTCATTAACAAAAGTCCTACATCCCTCATGGCTCTATGGTCAGATATGTCCAGTATGTGAATACTGTATGTTGGCTGTATTATTTTCAGGCCATCACTATCCTTGTTTTGGCAGGTTATTTTATATTTATGTAAACATGTTCTTGTTTTTTTGCAAATCAAATTTTACTTCAGTCTGAATTATCCTTACGAGCAGTTTACGATGCTGACCAGAGCTTCCCTATCCCCTCATACACTCAGCTTCTACTAGCTTGTTCTAACCTCTGAGTGTCTTCATGTGCTGGACAGCCATGCGCAGCACTGTCAGCTTGTCCAGCTTGCGGGACATGGCATTACAGGTGGGCACCAGTGATGCCAGCTCATCTATGAAGCTGTTCATCTTGTCCCTGCGACGCTTCTCTATCTGGCTGTGAGCCTCTCTGTGAAGAAAGACACCAGACATTAACAGACTCCTCTTACACTGATTAGATGCATTTTGCCCCATATTGCTGGTATGGGGGAAGGAAAGAGAAGTGAAAGTAGTTTTTATACCTGGCATTCTTAATCCGGCCCTGTTGGTCACTGGAAAGATAAAGAAATGTTAGAGAGGGGAAGCTGGCAAAAAAGGGAATGTTTCAGAGGAAAATACATGTCAAGTTTTGAGGTTTAAATGTATGGAATGGGGGTATTTTGAAGAGTGCGGAAGGGAAACTGCAAGTAGAGAGAGCAGGTTCACCAGTTCTGTAACCAGCCTCTTTTGTTGGTTTAAACTGTGTCAGAGTTTATGCAACAAGGCTCGGGGGTTATATTTGACTGTACAATTTGATGACTGAGGTAACACAAACTATGATGTAGTTTTCATTAAATGTCTTCACCTTATTTCTCTCACACATACACACACACGGGGTTATGTAAAAGTTTAGCAATCAAGAGAAGTCCTACCCTGCCCTCTGGCACTATGCCCTGAAAATATTTCCATCCTGCACAGACCGAAATCTACTATATCTTCATTTTCTTAACGTGATGTTAGAGTTCATAATTTGTGGGTGCTCAACTCACTGTTCCAGTTCTTGTTAAATTAGACAAGAAAAAAAAAACCCTCTAGTGGTCTGACATCTGACCAGACAGTAGTGTTGCTTTCGGTTTACAAAAAGAAACTATGCTAAAATGTCTCTTCATTTTTGTTGACCAAAACGAGATGAAACAAAATGTTATAATGTTATTTCGTCTCGTCCAGTCACGTTATTATTATTATTTTGCAGTATTTCTCTTTCCTGTGTCTCGCTTCAGGGGCCGCATCAGACGCGTCGCACTGCGCAGACGCAGGCGACATCACTTCCTTAACCACCACTCGCGGAATTATTGAGAAGACGACAACAAACAAAGTTAAGTCTGACACAGAGAAAGGGACCGATGGCCGGCCAGACGGGGTTCGTCATTGGGAGAAATAGAAGAAACGACATTTGGAAAAACTTTCATTGCATAGAAGTGGAAAAGAAAACGGAATTTGTTGTGGAAAAAGATGGGGAGAAATGCGGCCACAAAATGTATATTGGATGTATTCTTGAGTCTATAAGGTAACAATACTATAATAAGATAACCTTGTTTGAAATGGGTTTGGCTAAAAGAAAATTTTGGTTTCCTCTATACTACTAGGTACTTATAGTCTATTGACTGGGTTAAATAGAATTGCATTACTAAAAAGAGACTAAAATACAATTTTCATTGACTAAAACTAGACTAAAATGTCATCAGTTTTCGTCGACTAAAACTAGACTAGACTAAAAAGAGTATGAATGTGACTAAAACTAATAAAAACTAAAATGACAGCTTCACACAAAGACTAGAATAAAACTAAAATGAAAACAGGCCACCAAAAACAACTATACATTGTAGGTTTACATGATTTATTTAAAGAAAAGCCAGAGTTTTGACTCTAGGCTAATGAAATAACTTGCTAGTGTCAAGCAAACATTTGTGCTCACATCTCACACTTGATAACAGTCCACAGACAATGACATCATCAGTAAAGTCACACAGGTGTTTGTGTTAACACCACAGACAATCTGACAGCAACCTCCATTACATATTTTAATCACATATAGACAATTAAAAACATAACACTAACAAATAAATCATATCAGTTATGTGCAAGAAAATAGTCAAATATAAGAAAAGTAGAAAAAATATAAACACCCCTCTCCTAAGGCACTGCAGCAAGGCTATACTTTTTCAAGAAAAAACATACACTAATATGACAAATGTATCAATAGAGAAAAGTACAGCTGAAGCAATCGTCCATCTATTATTTAAACTGCATATTCCTGAAAAGGGTCTCGGGGGGCTGGAGCCAATCCCAGCTTGACATTGCACTGCAAAAACTGAAATTTAAGTAAGATAAAATATCTTAAATCAAGTCAATATATACTTGTTTTTTGTCTGACAAGATATTTTTCCTAAGCAGGCCATTTTATGTGAGAACATTTCATTTATTTCAAGCTTTTTTATCCTTTATTATCTTGATAAGTTATTATACCTTGTCAGTGAGATTTTATTACTAGTTCTGAGTATCTTAATGCTTGAAACAAGATTTACAAAAATTATAAAGCTGTTTGATCAATAATGACAAGTACAAAACTGCTTTGTTGAAGTCATGATTTCTTATTTTAAGCATTTTCCTTTTCATCTCTTCATATATTAAAGACAGATGATGGCCAAACTGAATTTACAGTTTTATTGTCATTATAGCATGGCTAACATGTATTCCTCTAGACAGAACAGTACAGTACAGAAAAGTACAGAACAAAAAGTTTGCCATTACATT